TTTTCATTAGAAATACTTATTTTACTTTGATTTCCAAAAATTTGCCTTCAAAAAATGACTCACATAGCCAATCTGTCCCAAACACATTTAAACTTTTATCTTAATAAATTAACTGAGTGTGATTTATCATATTTCTATTTAAAATAATTAAACATAAATAAATATTGAGACCCAGATTCTCAATGGCACCAGCCACAGTTCAAGTACTCAATGGTCACCTCTGGCCAGTAGCCACTGTGCTGAATGGACAGGGCAGGCAGCTGTGAGCACAAACCACATGATCACCACATATCCCTGAAATATGTGATCAGGTAGGGAGCTAGCACAGCTTCTCAAGTAACCACATGTGAGTGACAAGCACAGATTTAGTCCTCTGTGACAGCAGAAGTTACTAAATTCTAGGCAAAGTGGAAACCTGTTTAGGTTTTGAAACTCTAAGGCCAGAACACCACCATTTGTCCTGGACACTCAAACACAGAATGTTCTACCTAGTGTGGAATGTCTTTTCCTGAAGATATACTACAAGAAAAATAAAATGCTAAGAAAGTATAGCAAATGCAATGAGAAAAACACAGAGAAGTGAGAAATAAAAGTTTCCATCAAGAGCTGACAATAAAATCTTTGATTTCTACTTAATAAAGATAAAACAGGCTAAAGGAGGTGGGGCAAAAAGAGTCCCTTTGGGAGCTGACCCCGGATATTTTAGGAAATAATAAGAAAATTAGGAACAGATTAATTTGTTAATTATAAAATTAACAATTATAAAATCACAGTGGATTCTCTTCAGTCTCCTGGTAGCACTCACAATGAATCCCAGCACTCAGGAGGGGGAGGCAGGAGGATCATAAGTTCAAAGTCATAGTTGGCTACACAGCGAGTTTGAGGCCAGCCCGGGCTACATGAGACACTGTCAGAAAACCTCCATTTTAGTTTCCAAACTTAAACTACTTAGAGATGAACGGTGGGCAATATAGGAAGCTTTCATAGAAATGAATAATTTTACCTAAAGCACAAAATTAGAACAATGGCTGTAGGTTGTACATGAGTGCATGCACAGGTAAATGTAAATACTAGAAACTGAAATTAGTGATTACTGTGATGCTCTATGTTAGTCCAATTTCTGTTATTATATTAAAATGCTTGGGACTGGATTCTTAGAAAATTCAGTTTGTGTAACTCATTGTTTGGAAAATTCAAGTGCACAGGACCAGTATCTGTTGACAGTGATGCCAGTGACTTGGTAAGGGCTTCATGGCGGATGTTGCCATGTACAACATGATGTAAGAACACAATGGGGGAGAAAACTCAAGTCAAGATAGGAAGCCAAGGACCAGGCAGAGACCAGTGTTGCTCTTCTTATAATCACCCATGTTAATTAGCAATTACTCCACATACACTCTTCTGAGGGCAGCATGCCCGTCAGCCTAATTGCCTTACACTAGTCTCCATCCCTTAAAGGCCCACCCATTCAATACGCCAAATGAATATTTATTTTAAAAATTCACATTTTCAAAACCTTTACAATGATACAAATTGACAAGTAGGGAAAAAAAAAGCCTCTTCCACCTAGATATTCTAGAAAGTTCTTAAATTAAGAGATACAGAGGACTGAAACTTAGTACTTATCTTTATCCACAAGGTCAACAACATATACTGTCTCTATCGATAGGAAAAACAAAACTCCACATGCTGATTTCTAACACATATCTTCCAACTTAATTTATCCTCTTGAATTGAAGATGCTATTGAGAATTCAATTATAACTGTCTGTTTAAAACTAGTAATTAATATATCTAAACATTTTGATAAAACATTGTATTATAATCAAATATGTACCATGGTTTAAAAATCTAGGGTTGAAAAAAAGAAAGGAAAGAAAAAAAACTCTAAAATATAATCAACTTCAGTGTAATGTAGTGAGAATTATGTGCGATATTAACACTCTTCAGCTGCTTTCCAGGGGTCTGAAGCAATAATGTGAATGTCTCTCAAAAAGCCTATAGTTTAATTTTTCCAGAAAAATAAGTTTCATAGGATTACTGACCCTCTTAACACTCCTCTAAAGAAAATGAATTCCATAAGCATTGTGGCATATAACTATTATAAACATAAATAGAACAGTCAATCAACAGACATAGTAATGGACTCGTGAACTTGAACCTACTGAGGAAACGTGCCTAAGTCTGCCTGATGACCACGTTAGCAGGAAGATCCATGTAAAGGAACCAAACATACTGAGACAAACGAAGGGCCTAGACACAGGACACGGAGAGGGAAACTTTAAGAAAACAACCTAATTTCTCAGCATATCAGCCTGGATCAACTATCCAGGCTCTCTCTCAATTCTGAGCCATGTACCTAAGTACTGTTTGGTCTTTTGGGAGGTATTTAAATGTTTCAAGGGGGAAACGGGACAATTACTGATTTAAGACATATTTTTGTACATACAACTCTTTGTGCTTTAAGAGGAATTTTTTCAGGTCATTAGTTTATAATGTGAACAGGCGCCTAGGGATATTTTGAAAGGGAAAAGCAGCTAGTATGCTTGGAGCTACAGTTTATGTGGCTTGAATCATCATTTATTTCAGCTCAATTTGGGGCCCCATGCTGAACTCAAAAGGAACTCACCACATCTGAAGCAGTTTCTTTCTCGGCATGCAATGACCAAATCGGAATCTGAAGACAGACTAGATAAAGGGCCTGCTAATGCTAAGGTTTTACAATTCCATGGTACAAAAAGAAAATCAGCTATACAAATAATATCTAAACTAATATAGATTCAAACTTCATTAATTCTTCCAGTTTTATCTTTATTTGGACCATCTCATGCCAGCCACTCATACTGCCATATTTGGGTCCAGAAAGCAAGAACTAAATCACTAGGCTCAGAGAAAGCAAGCAACTTCCTAAACCCAAGTTCATTAACAAAAAGATGCTATAAGCCCAAGTTCACAGACTAATGGTCATTCTGACATGTTCTGCATATCATGTCAAAACAGTTCATTCACACAGTTCCCAAATTAATCAACAGTCCTAAATTCTCTACTTCCCTCAAATATAAATAAAACTCACAGCCTTCCTACACACTTCGTTTAAGTGTTAACAAAATAGATAGTGATATTCTTTGGCTATCAGAGAAATATGACTCAATACTACACTGAGAGTCCAACACCGTATGAATTGAAAGTATTTTTTAAAAGAAAAAAGAAAACAGCAGTGTGTAAGAAACCCTCACCTGAAAAGGCTTCAATTTTTGGGCTTTTTCAGATTTGAGACTATTTTAATGTATATAAAATGAGATTGGGAGGGGAAAAGGACCCAAGAAACTTGATATTCATTGATGATTTATATACTTTAGTCTGAAAGTAATTTCATACAGTATTTTTAATGCATGGGTATTTTTACTATAACTTAGTACATGTGGTCCAATGGGGACTTTTGTATTTGTGGAATCACGAATTTTGAAGAATTTGAGGTTTCAGATTTTCAAATTAGAAGTGCTCAACCCGTACCTTGAACTATGAAACATTAGAATTCCCTTGCTTTTGCATTTGTTTAGATCACAAGTCATGATTTCACATCAGGAGATGAGCTTTACAATGAAGGTCAAGGTCTTCCAGACAGGAAACTCCCTATTCTCAACCATGGATACACACTAAAGGCGCCAGAGGAGCTTTCACAAAATGCTGGCTCCTTGGTCCCCGCTGAGCTGCCGAGTGCACTGTGTCACAACAGAGTCCAAAAGCCTCAAAGGAGTCTAATGTGCGTTTCGGTGGAGAGTCCATGACTTACATAGATCTTAAATGTGTACTGATGGCCCAGAAATGGCCAACGTTGAAAGCAAGTCAAGATAACTGAATGCAGAACCCAAAATGGACACAACTCTAATGCACATGAGTGAGCAAGGCATGCACACACTTTCAGATGGAACTAAGGCACTCCAAGGCAGGCACAAGAGTGAACAAGCTGTGCACACATTTCTAGACAGAACTAAAGCACTCCAAGGCAGGGGTCCTGAGCTCCAGCTAACACTGTTATAAGGGAAACCACAGACACCAGATCTTTTCATGTGGCCTAAAAAACTAGAATCAATTTTCTCATAAAATTACTAAGCATTTAAGAGTTGGCTCAATTAAAAACCAACACTATACAGAATGAGCAAGCACATAATGAAACACATACTTTAAGTTTAGACTTCTGGCTCCATCCAGGCTCTCTCACCCCGGGTCAAAAGGATATTTCCTGTCGACAGAAACCTCAGCACCATCCTCAGCATCAGCATCACCATCATCACAGTAATGATAACCACACCCAATGTGTTAACCACTATGACCAGTTCTGCATAGCGTCCTTAGTCTTGAGCCTCCTTGGAGGGAGGTACCATGATTAGTCCCACTTTCTGGTAACCACCCCTGCCAAAGTCAAATAGCTGGTCAATGATCACACCAAAATCCAGATGTGGAGACTGTCTTAGTTTTAAATGTGCTTTTAACAACTTAAAAAAACCAAATGAAGTGAACAGCTAATAATTTCTCAGCTCACCTGTAGTTATCAAATATCTCTGACTCTGCAACACAACTCTTGAATAAATAAAGACAGGTGTTTATACCTCTCAGTCACAAAGTCTCTAGTAAGAACCATGTGCTCTAAGGAGTTGAATGAATGTTCATGAGTCTTCTGAGAAGAAACCAATTCTGTTGCTGCAAAAAGTTTACTTCATGTAGCTCTCCGGGTGGGGAAGGACTCAGCTTTCTTTAAGGGGCTGGCCACTGGGAGTGAGTACATGAGCAACACAAATTGGACTTTTTTTTCTTTTTTTCTTTTTCTTCTTTTTTTTGGGGGAGTGGGGGAGGCAGTGGGAGGAGGGCGGGACATCACAAGGGTGAAGGAGTTGGCAAACCTGGGAGGACTAGGTTGTGAGTTTGCTCAGAGTTCATGATGTGCAATTCCTAAAAAAGCAATAAAAATATTATGGAAAAACATTTACTTCATTATTTTACCTTTTGAAAGATGAGTAAAAGTGCTCAGAAACTCTTCATATGTTTGCTCAGGACAATTAACAAACTTATCCAAGACTTCTTTCATTAACTGATCTTCATCCATCATCTCCGGTCTCAGTATTTGCGCAGGCATTCCTAATCACAGGACCACTCTACAAGACAAAGAAAAAGCAGAAGCTAGCGAGGAAGGCAGCTTCAGCAACACGATGGCAGGTGGTGGAGGAACTCAGGGCCCCAGCAGGCAGCTGATGAACGGCTGCTGGAGCAGTGGACTCCAGCATAAGGGCTAGAAGCTTCGGCACACTTTGTGCTGCTGAACTGCTCACTGCACCTATTTGGTTTGGATTTCAGCTCTCATATTATATGCTAAAGTCACAGGAATAGTGTCACATAATTTGACTAGAAACTAAAAGTCTTTCAATGTGAGGAGAATCTCGAGGACATCTACTGACCACAGCCACCATCACCACCACCACCCCATGCAGTAGCAATAACTATTGGAGCTGGTATGGAAAAGTAACATTTAGCTCTTACTGTGAATGGGGTGCTGTTCTAAGAGCTTCAGTGTTAGCTTCCACAACCCCAGGTAAGTTCACAGAGCCAAACATACTTGTCCAATCCCTGAACTCAAGCCCTTAAAACAGCAAATCATGCTTCACTCCATCTACTGTGACCACAGCAGTAGTATGGCTAGCAAGAAGTGGTAGGTCTGAAAATTCTGACATTCCAGTGAAGTCATTGGCAGCCCTACTAAAAAACGCCTAAAAATGAGCCTGCATCTGTCTTCCTAACCTACCCCAAATGTTCCTTGGGCCAGTGAGGGTGTATTGAATAATTTTAATCCTTCTAATACCTGACATCCTTGAACAAAGTCAAACTAAATCATCTCAATATTCTATTTGTTAGGACACATTTCTTTTCCAAAACTAAGTTCAGAGTTGAGGTTTTCTGAGCAGCCCACACACATCCCTCTCACCATAATGAAAAGAGTTGGCTGTGACTTCTCATGCCACCATGTACTATCCACTTAGCACACTCTCTAGGAAGAGTTATGCATACTTCTTTATCTGCTTCTATACCCATAATCATGAAAGACTGAGTACATCTTCTCATACTTGTATCCCAAGTACTTAAGACCTTAGGGTGTGGTGTACAGCTGGCCGCCTAATGTGAGCTAAAGGTGCTCATTTGAACAGGTACAATGGTCAAAATGTAACTAGACTTGACAAAATTCAACTGAACTTGGCCAATGACTTCACCTGTCCCTGGATAGGGAGTTCCAAGAGCACTATCAAGCCCTCAGTCAGTGGACTGGGAAAGATTTGATACCACATCACCTGTATGTGTTTACAATACGGCAAACTGGAGCGGAGACTCCAACATAGTCTGGGCATGGACTAATTCTCACATTAAAGGCTGCACCCATTCTATTCAACTGACATCACATTCACACCACCACTGGCCCCTTCACACATAACTCATTTTTCATGCTCCTAACTGCCTTACTCTTTGCAGTTCGAACTTAGTCTTCATGCGTGATATCATATCTGGTTGAATTCCATTCATCCTACATAAAATATTATTTCATAAAGCTTTGGGGAAATTGACTATCTGCATTAAGAAGAAGAATAAACACTGCCAAAGCAATACATGCAGAATAATAAAAGAGGGATAGGGGATCACCACACTACATGAAAAGACAGCACCAAACTCCTTTATATTTTTCTGAAACAAGAATAAACATCTGGAGCTGGGGAGAGAGCTCCCTAGTGCTGCTCTTACAGGAGAGCAGAGTTCAGTTCCCAGCACCACAACTGGAGGCACACAACTGCCTGTAACTCCAGCTCCAGGAGGAGCTGACGCCTCTGGCCTCTGCAGGCACACACACACACACACACACACACACACACACACACACACACATGCACACAATACACATGCATACACACACAATTAAAAATAATAAAAGTCAATCTTTAAAAAGTGATCATCTTTCACTTAAAAAGGAATAAAAATCTATTCCTTGCTCCTAACTTTTTTCACCCACTTTCCGTTTTTGATGTTTTCTACTATAGATGTCATCATCCTTTACAATATAAACAACACAGGGATATGGAAGGGAAAAAGCATTAAAGATGTTCTTAACTATCCCCTGACCCCACCAATCCCACCTGGAAACACTATCAGAAGTCTAGTAAATATATTTTTAAATCTTTCCCTACAATGTTTATGATTATAGACACTTTTACAAAAACAGGGGAATATAAGCTGTTCTCTACCAATAGATTTTTTGTGTGTATGCTAAAGAATAGCTTTTGAACATAATAAGATCCATGGCATCCCACCACATTAGGAAGTCAAAATCTAGCCTGTTCTTTCAAACAGCTACCCAGTCACAGTCCAGCTCTGCTCCTTGTATATAACATTTGGGAAAGTTACTTGACATCTCTGGACCTATCTCCTCTCATCTAGGAGGGGGCACTGTCATGGTTCACCCTTGTTTCCTAAACCTCACTTCTAAATACTAAGGAGGTAGAAGTGTTTTCTGAAGATGATGTCCAAACTCATTTACTGAGAAGACCTGACCCGAATTAACATGGGAATACTTGCAGTTCTTATTTCTTCTACCGAGTGTGACTAATCAGGTTTTAAGCCCCACCCCCCAAAAAAACTAATTGGCTTGCATATGAGGTGCCTTCCCAGCCCACCTAGAGATTTGTACAACGCATGCCTTACGTACCGCCGACCTTACTAAGATCCAACACATTCTGAAACACATGTGAACCTGTGGGTTTTACCGAACCATGAAGCTCTATGAGGCTTACAAGACTGCTCTGAGGATGAAATGTGTGTCCACCTTAGAGACACAGCCTTCCTGATGTTCATGAGGAAGAAGACTGCAGAGAATCACTTTGACTGTGACCACTCTGGCTTTGAATGCACTGATGCTACCCACAAGGTAACACCTTGTACATTCTAATCCCACAGGAAGCACAATGCTAGTGGGCCAAATGAAAACAATAGTTTGGGGATCGACTTCAAATGAAAGGCACTGTTTCAAGCTTCTTGTGCCTGAAAAGTTGGATACATGAAAAGTCATCACTTACAACAAACCCATGTGTACCAATGCCCAGGCTTCAACAATGTACAACTTATAAAGGTACGCTTGTAGCTGATAGATAATGAATACCAAGAAAGAACCTCATCAGATCAGTGACTATTATTTCATTATCAGCAGGACATACATGAAACACAACAATCTCAACATCCATCTACTTTTCCAGCATTGGAGCACAGCATACCAATAATCTCTTCCTCAAAGCATTCAGCTGGTCTACTTCAGTGCATCAAAAATGGCCAAGCTGTGGTTTCTACTGCTGCAAATGTCTTCTCACAGTTATGGTTAACAAAAAAAAAGTCACAGAAATTCCTTTAGGGCTCCTTTTCAAAGCTCAAATTGATATATTTTGAATATTTACCCTCAATGTATCTCAGTACTACCAAAGGCAGATGGTGAACAGGCTATATACTGCACAGAGATAAAACAATCTTCAAGGCTTCTTATTTCATTTCTGTGTTTGTAACAATCTAGGCATTTATTGGCTTTTTTAAGACTTTCACAAACTGTCAACAGTTGAAGAATTTAACGAGTACCCATCATCCAATTTAGACCTTTCATTACCTAGAAAAGCATTAGGAACCTAATGTTAAAGGTCCCCAGAGACTGACAAAGCAGATTACCCTTTACCAGACAGTCTGGTGGTTTATGTAAATGCCAGTGGTTTTCTAGACGGAAGCATGCTTTTCATTTACCACCCACATGCTAGTGTGTTTTTATCATGAAATATTTTTCTAAAAGAAAAAAGAGAAAGAGAGGCTTGCCTAGATAACAAGATTCATATTTTTTTTTGGCTTGGTTTTGTTTTATGCTTTGAGCACCACATGAAAGGTGTAAAACGTAATGGTAAGTAAAGGCATATAAATAGCTACTGGTAAATCATAAGCAACACTTTCACCATCAGAGCCTTAGAAAGGAAACAGAATATTCACTGCTCTGCTCTGACTACTAATGTCACTTGGAAACCAGGTGATTAGGAAAAGGCTTCTCTCCTTTGCCCTGACTGAGAGACAAGAGAGGAAAATCCATCACCTCCCAGAGGTCCTGTTGTGTATTATCAAGTAAGGAAGCCAACAATCATATACACAGAGTGTTGTGTGCACTAACAAGTATACACCAATGAAACGTGGAATGTGATGTCATCACCACCAACAGCACATCTTGGATGTCTATCTTCTGATCCTGGTGTAATGAACTCACCCAACGAAATGCAACTCTCTGAGGTCTGAGAGTGTGAAGCTTTAAGATACAGACCCCTACGAACAAGTCTTCTCTCATGGTGCATTGCCTGATTTCTTAACAACACAGAGGGCTGTATGTCTGCGAAACTGTTTTTAAAAATGTGCTGTGTCCCAACTTGAAAACAATAATAAACTTCTAAGGAGCTGTACTAGGTTTCTCAGAGCCCACCTTCTGTGTGTTAGAGTTCTGGGAAGTAAAATCTACTGAAGGAGATGAAGGAGAGGACACAGCAGCAATGTAATTGACTTTACCTAAGGAAACAAAGCCATCATCAACCTTGGTATGTCACAGGGTGGCTGTCCTTTTATGTTAGTATAAACAGTCTAGTCTCCAAAAGACTGAACTGTACTGTGACCACGTTATTGTGACTGGCTCATAAGGTAGAAAAGAGCAGGTGTGAAGAGGTTGCCTCCTTGACTGAACTGCAACCACTCTGCACTTGCCCCTAAGCTTCCAATCTTTTACACCATATCAAGAAGAGAGGAAGAAACTCAGACTCTCTGGGCTGGAGAGGTAGCTCAACAGTTAACAGCACTTGCTGCTCTTCCAGAGGACCTGAGTTCATTTCCCAGATATTAGGCAACTCACAACCACCTTTAACTTCAATCCCAGAGAATCCAAAACCCTCTCTGTCAACTGATGCCACTGAAGAGCTGTCATGTATGGCTCTCATGTTACAAACCATGAATAGATGCTTATGATCATGAACACAAAGAAACCAGCAGGAATATTAAAAAAGAATGGAACTAGTGAGAGAGAGAGAGAGAGAGAGAGAGAGAGAGAGAGAGAGAG